AGATGACATAAGTAGCAGCATCAGAGCAAACCTATACGAGTACGATACAATCAGCAGCCATATGCATTGTCTAACAATGCATCGGGCAATTAACGTACGGTTGATGCAGAAAAATATTATAAGCAAATGTCAACTTTAAGATGCGCTTCAAAATATGCACCGATCTGGTTAGCGACTGGAGTGCAGGACCTATATCTGGATGGGCTTCTCCCCAGTTGGCGGCTCTAATTGGCCAACTGCGCCCGTTATTTGTTTGTGGTTTGTGGCGTTGATCATGGGACATGCTCCGACCCCGAAAGGTTGGCTCGGAAAGGTGGCGGCTATGGTCACACAGATGTGTGCCATCCAAATATGTTGGCTTCTCCGAACGAGTGACTTAGATAAGTCGAAGCTGCAATTTATGTAAAAGTCGTTTGGCCAGCCACCGATCAACGAGCCAAAATTAATTGACTCTTGCGGGCAGGTGTAAAGACTCCATACATATTTATATACATGTATATTGTGCATATATCGACATGCAGGTGAGTGTGAGTATGCATAAATTGTTGGGTCTGGTGCTGAGGCTGGTCGGCCAGAAGGACGTTGCGTGCAGGCCTTTCACAAAAGTTGTCGCCCCAAAGGCGAGCAACAATTAATTGACTTACGCAGTGGCCTGCTGGCCCGCAACTCTGATCTGCATCTCTGACTTCTGCGTCTGTCCTGGCAGTCAATTAAGTCAGCGGTCTGCGCCATATCATATCCCCCCCTTCTGTTGACCAATTTGTGTGCCGCGCACGCGTGGCAGTGTCTGGGCGTGGCAGCATGTCAACCCAAACTCTAGTCCGTGTGGGCGAATGCGTTTTGTTGGCATTCTAATTGCCCTGTCATGATGGCTAATGAACGAAGTGCCATTTGGTGAGCATTCCACTCATAAAGCAAAATACTCATATGTTCCACGCTCGACGCACTTTGTGGGCCATACAATTTTGATTTGTGTGAAGTATTTAAAGGGCAACCTTGAACCAAATTCATTTCTGTGCGAAAACAAAATGAAATGAAATGAAAGCGGCTCGCCGCTCACGAGTTTTAACAAGCATTTAAGCCAGTTCAGGCCCAAAAAGCATGGAGTTGCAAATCATGTAAGCTTTAACTGAAACTTATTACTGTGCAGTGGTCAAAAGTGTGCAAATCTTCAGTTAATTTATGCTCTCTTGATTAATCACGGAAATATACCAGTTTATTTACTTTGGCTTTGGCAACACAAATTCAAATCCATTTATTGTCGGAGAACAATACAGTCTCTTGTTTCCCTAATGCAGGCTGAATTTGTCAGCAATCTCCAATCTGCAAGAAAACGAAATAGTAATTCTTAATAAAAAAAAAAATAGTTGACTTACTCTGATTGCGCTGGCAAATCTGTTTTCGTAAGGTGCATGCATTGGTGAAAGTGCAGACATCGGTAATGCCACGACGTGCCCAAGAGGCACAAACAGGACTAAATATCCTGGTACAGACCTGGGGGCATTGTCCCTTAGCCAGAGCCAGGCAGCCGAAAGCAACCAAAAGAACGATGAAAACAGATCTCATGATGTTGACAAAACTTTTGGGAATGATCGTTAATTCTGGAGATGGCTCTTTATATGGCAGAGCCCTGAAAAAGTTCTGAACAAAAGAACACAATGCAATTATTCATAAATTATCTGCGAAACATTTGTGCAAATACTGTAATATTCCCGTAAAATAAGATTCATTTAATTGTACAATTTAAAAGATGTACTCTCCGATTATAATCAGATCCCCTCCACTCGGTAATGGAATACAGGGCCTAAGTTGTGACCCGTCCAACAAAGGATCACATTTTGTCTATAAATTGTAATAATTAGTCATATTCGAGGGATGTAGAGTCTTAGGACGTCGTGCTACTTGAGGATGAGGAGTAGTGCTCGAGCTGCTTTGTTTGGATGATTAAGGAACCAATCATGACTTCGACTATTGTGGTGGTTTACTTGATTCCCAGCACCCGTCATCACCCTTAGGGTTTGATGCTTGCCACATTCTTTAACCCTGGAGTCATGCTTCCCAAGTCATGTGTCTGTCGAAGTGGACTTCTAAGTAGCAGTGACTATGCTCGCACTTATTCCGTGCACAAAAAAGATCTCCACATTGCTAAAATCGGGACTCAAGCACACCATCACAATATTCAATGTAATGATAGCACTGGAGGATGGGGCTCCGGGCTAATATTTGGTAAAGGCATGTCGTATGTATATAGAATATACAGAAGTGGTCTAAGAAGACTGCTATGGGGTACGCCAGCTCTGATCATGTTTATTTCAGATATTTCGTATTTGCTTGTAACGATATATGTTATTGGACTTTTTAAAGATTATTCAGCTTAAGAATATTCTTCCAAATATCTTAGAGAATACTGAAAGGAAGCTAATAAATAGATCTGTATGACTCAAGGCTCCCGATTCCATGGTGTGTGGATTTACCGATGCGTAGAATGATGTCCCTTGCGAGGAAGCAATTTTTTAATGCGGTTATCAATTAAGTCGTGCCAACAGCAGCTTTATTTTTCACAGGGACATTAACTTGTGCTTCGACTGCAGAAGGGGAAAATGGCTTGGTTAGTAATGACGGTAAAGGCTTCTTAATACAAGGACGCTACTCCCATGCGGTTTTGAGGTTCTATATCGGTTGCAAGTGCTTCTGCTTTTTCCGAGTCTGATTTGATCCACTTTCCATCGTCACTCCTTAGCAGAATACTTCTTGATGCCTCGACGCACTTTGCGGCTCATAGCTTTTTGGTTTGAAACAAATCAGTTTCTGTACGGTAAACAAAATTAAACTAAATCAAAGTAGCTCGCCCTTCACGGTTTGTAATAAGCATTTAAGCCAGTTAAGACCCAAGGAGTATGAAGTTACAAATCATGTAAGCTTTAACTAAATATTAAGACTGTGGTGAAAAGTGAGAAAATCTTTTGTTAATGTGATTAATGGCGAAAATATGCCAGTTTATTTATTGAGGTTTTGGACAACGCAAATGCAAATATTTTTACTGCAGGAGAGATCTACAGTTTCTTGTTTCTACAATACAAGCTGCCTCTGGCAGCTTTTTAATCCAATCTGAAAGCAAACAAAATAATATTAAATGCTTCGAAAAATATCGTTTACTTACTCTGACGACGCTGGCAAATCTGATTCTGTAGAGTGCATTCATTGCGGAAAGTGCAGGTGTCGGTGATGCCACGACGTCTCCAAGAGGCACAAACAGGACGATTGATGTTGCGACAGGTCCTGGGGCATTGTCCCTTAGCCAGAGCCAGGCAGCTTAAAGCAACCAGAAGAACGATGAAAAGAGACCTCATGATGTTGACAAAAGTTTTGGGAATGATCGTTAATACGGGAGGTGCCTATTTATACGGCAGAGCCCTGAAAAAGTTCTGAACAGAAGAGCTCAATGCAATTATTCGTAAAATATCTGCGAGACATTTGTGCAAATACTGCAATATTTCCATTCAATAATATGCATACTATTGTACATACTTAAAGATTTTTTGAATGAGGTTACCTTTGCTCCCCAGTTATATTCAGACCCCCTCCTTTCTGTAATGAATACAGGGCCATGTTGCGGCACGTCCGACAAAGTATCACATTTTATGTGGTCTCTCGAAAAGAAAGCCTCAACTGTGTCAAATGAAAAGTGAAAGGACTTAAGTGCGTTATTGTTTCTGTTTGGGTTTTTACTTATATAAACGAACCTGCTGCCCAGGGAGCTTTGCCCTTTTGTGGGTCTTGTCTTTCAATAAAAAGCGAAGTACTTTCACTCTTTAGTGTATTTACTGAATGTCAGCAGCATCAAAAGATACTACTATACACATAAACAATATTTCAGCATCATTAAAAATTATATTTTTCGTCTTCTCGTCCAAAGCGTGCGATTGTATGTATGTAGACTCTACGTATAAAGAATGAAAAGATTTTGGAAAAAAAAAACTAAAATCCTACCTACTCATGATTTTTTTTCTAAAGACATAACAGAGACATCATTACGAAAGAACATCGAAGATGGCAATCCTGTTAGCCATTTTTATTTTATTATGTCCAGGCACCATTTTCCTACATGGAAATATGATATATCATACAACTATGAAGATCCCTTTTCGGGATATTCCCCAAAAAGCCCGTAGAAATAAGAATTCTTTTTTAATTGATATAATTGATAATTTCCAGCCAGGTGTTTCAACAAGTGGCTAAAGTTTGGGTACTCAAATTTCATTAATTTAAATATATGAGAAATTACTTTTTAAGTTGCAATTAAATATTTAAACTGCCGTAAATTGGTATTAATTGTGTGAGCTTTAAGGGAATTCGATGCAATCTATGGTGCGATTTATAAGAGAGAAAAGCAACCCATTGGTTTCGAATTGGGAAGGAGGAACACTGAATAGGTTGTAAATTAAAACAAAGTACTTTCACTGATAGCTGCTGCCAGAGCCAGAAATAACAAAAGCAATCAATATCAATAATTATCAAAAGGCGTTAACAATTGTCCGAAAATGTGTTTCTGTTGCTGCGTTTTTTGTTGTGTAAAACCTGGTCGGGCGACAAAAGCCAACAAGGCATTAACACGAGCCCCGAGTCATAAATCGGAGCGCATTAAATCGAAAAATAAAAGCAAGGTTGCCAGATGTCAGATGTCAGGTTCTCCTACCATGCCCTCCCCCTGGCTGACAGTAACCGAAACGCCCAAAACAATGGCCAGTCCAAATGGAATATTTGGACTTATGTATGTATATACCCATACCCATACCCATACCAACACCAAAACGCAAATATCCCATTGGTAGCAGCAGCAGCTGCCACATGTGGCGTTGCCTGTTGTATCTGTGGCTGCTGGCTGATTAATACTCTTGGCCACGGGCGTGTTTCTATTTGTCAAAGAGGCGTGTCGCCTCCACTGCATATATGCATACATAACGTATTAATTTGTTTTTTTGCCACTCGTCTACTTCCAGAATACTTCTGCTCTCCCTTCTGGCCGCCGCGCAGGCGCAGTATCATCAGTTTGGCGAACAACTGCAGACGGCCCACGGATCGGAGTGCGCCCTGTTGCTGGCCGGACCTGGTCGCTCCTCCGTCTACGACTACAATGTGAATCTATTCCGCGGCACTCTGTAAGTACAAATAGAAACTGTGCTGTGGCTTTGCAGAAAAAGTGGCTCGGCAGCATTCTGGGTTATGTTTGCGACTCAAATATTTGAACGTTGACACCGAAACGGCGCAAATGCCTGACTGACAGCCATAAATCTTGGGTCTGGCTCTGGCTCTGGCTCTGCCTGGGGCTGTGGCAGTTGTTGTTGCGGTTGCTGCTTGTTTGAGCAGTGGCAACATGGGGCTGCTACCTGTCGATGCTCTACACCTACGACAACATGGCCTAACACAAGCTTTGAGCTAATCATTATCAACAGCAGCAGCAGCTACAACCTATGGGAGAGTCGACTACTCATATCTGACATTGCAGTGGCATTGAGTTGGGAGGTACCCTGGTGAGTGCGCCTGCTGAGTGATATGATGGGATCTGCTGCTGCATAGAGTAGTTACCACATTTGACAGCAAACGTCTTCATTCAAGCTTACAGGGAAATAATTAGACATTTGCCGGAAACTATGTAGGTTTTATTGAAACATAGTCTCCCTTACATCAATTTCTGTTTCTTTTTTGGGCTGAATCTTGGCTCTTGGCTTGGACTCTGTCTTGCGATGTTTCTTGCCTTTCGATCGGGATTGCCTACCACGCCTCCTCCAGGGTACGGGCTTTTCGGTAGTGTGATGATTATTTTCCAATAAGGTCCAACTAGTGACCTTTGGGATTTTCGGTGTTTCAGAGCTTCGATATATCTGGTCGCTTGGTGTCACTTTAATAGGGGGTAGGCTTGAGTCTAGTAACTTCGGACCTTCTTTGCTGTCCCGTCTTTCTGTCTTGTGATGCTTCTGGACTCTTGAATGTTGCATTGACTTCGATGCATTTTTATGTGCTCCTAGCCTGCGATGTTTCTTGGCTTTTCGTGAAGTTAGTGACGTACGATGCCTTTTTTCGTTCAGTATTTGGTGACAATCATTTGTCGGCCACTGGCAAGGCTCATTACTCTCTATCCGCCAATCTGCCAATTAGAGAAATTTTTCTTGCAGTATGGAGTAAGTATGATTTTTTCCCAGCTCACCATTTTGCGTTGCCAAAACAAATTGGTCATAGAAGCACATATTGAGGAAGGTGCAAACGGTACGGCCGCCTGCATATGGCCTGTATCCGCAGATTGGCAAAGCCTCAAGAGAGCAGTTAGTATTAATAGAACCGACTGTTGGGAACTCAGTACTAGTACTGAGAGGATAAGTCTGATTCGCGGCCTTGCTGAGGCCAATAAACAAGAGCAGGATTGCTGCCGATCTCATTCTGGCGAATACGAACTTTTGAGTAGTCCAGCCGATGGCTGGATGGGTCTTATATAGTGCCAGAACTGACTTGAAGAGGTGTCAAAACAGACTGCGCAGAATGGGTTCCTAGGTGTAACAGGCACGGTGAATACAGGCATGTATGCAGCAGCAAATGGTTTGTGGCCTCGAACAGGCCTCGAGCGATGACAGCGGCGACACAACCAACATGTGATGCAGACAGACGCATCATGAAGTCACCTGACAGACCAAAGCGACTTATTAGTAATGGAAAAAAGCAAACCGCACGACAAAAAGCCGCAAACATAAATAGCAAAACAGCAAACCAGCAAACCAGCATTCAAACAAATGGCATTGCAACACTTGCAGATGTTAAAGGAAAAACGGAAAAAAAACCCACCTGTGCGGCGGAGGGACCGATACCGCCACTGTGATGGCAGACTTTTATCTTGAAATGATTTCGAAAAGTGACTTTGAAATACTGCCAAGACACAATGCCTCCCGACGTGAACTTCAGCTTCAGCCAGCACTCATGGCACTTGGCCGCCAGCAGATATCTATATTTTAAATGTCACACGATCCAGATCGAGATTGATCCGCTGCAAATTGTGTTCGAGTATCTGTGGATCTGTGTATCTGTGTGCGGGGGTCATCTGGAATTGGAGCTAATTTGGGGTCGCCGGGCATCAAAACGTGAGTCTGCAAGATCGTTAAGGCTGACTTTGGCTTGGATGTTGAACCTGGCTGCGTTGCGGTCAGCTGGGAAAAATGCAGCCAACAATTGGCAACCAAGCGGCAACCTACTTAAAGTTAAATACAGGTTTTGCACGGGCACTTTCATTGCGGCCTCTGAAAAACTTTTTGTCTACCCCAAGTCTGTATTTGTATCTGAGCCTCCATCTGCAACTGCATCTCCGTCTCCATCTCTGTCTGTGTCCCCGTCTCTGTCCCCATCTACGTAAGCGAAGTAGCCCCTGAGAGACAACGATCGCCTCCATGGTTATGCCATGGGGCCCCCGAAATGTTGAGAAAATAGCAGAAATAGAGACCCGCTCTCGCATAGATAAATGATATTTGAATATTTTGCCAGCGCGTTTACGACACGCTTTTGCAATTATTCACAATATTACGCATACGCCGCAGCGGCCCATGCAACTCAATACAGTTTCGCTTCGATCAGGAAGTGTTGTCCGCGCACCTGCGAGCGCATATTGAATTCACGATCCCCGGCCCAAAATTCGTAACATTAGTTTTTACTTTGCAGCAACACAATCAGGATAACAAGTACAGGTACAGCTCCAGGTCCAGCTCCAGGTCCAGGTCCGAGCACACAGACTGTGGCAGTGCGTGCCGCATGCAAGCAACTTTCTAGCTGGCCCAAAACTCTCCGGCTATGCGCACATTGAACTTATCAGGCGCAGTAAATTTTGGTTAACTTTGGTTTTTTTTTATTTCGTGTACTTTTGGAAAATTAACTGGCAGACCAGTTAAGTGCCAGGCATTGCCATTTTCGATTTCGATTTGACAAATTTGCCTAAGAAAAATGCGGGCAAATTGTTGCCTTACCATGGCGAAGGTGAAATGCACTAACCATAAGTATTGCCAAGCACCTTAAAAAAGCTTATAAATATATTAAAAAGCATTGAACAGTACATTGTTTAGTCCGAAGGACATACAAATAAGTATGAAACATTTAATATCTAAGCAAAATTTCACTGCAATTTCTGAGGTCAGCAGAATGTTCCTACTTAGTAGGACACCTGCTGTCAGTCTATGCCAGTCTAAATATGACATAAATTAATTTAAGGTAATAGTAATCCCGAAAACATAAAAAAAAATGTATATTTGGTAAAGAGTATTTATTGTAACTATTTTAATTTAATTACTTGCAAGTACAGTATATCAATATTTGCATCCTTTTGGATCCGATTGAATTCAAAATTTCTTATTACGGATACGGATACGCATTCAAACATGATGCCTTGGTGGGTATGCTCTGCTCCATTAACGGGTACGCATTTAATGGCTGCAAGTTCGTGAAAAATGTTGCTTTTAGCTGAAATGGTTTTGCATTGCGTGTGTTGGCCATGTGTCTCTGTCGCTGCTATTTGTTGCACATTTTTGTTGTTCGTCTTGTGTTGGTATGTTGCTGCTGTAGTTGCTTCTACAGTTGTTGCTGTAATTACTTAATACTTACGCATTGTTAACACGCATCGTTGTCGCCTGACACGCGTTTTACATGTCGCGCCATTCGAGGAAGTTGCTGGCCCCCATTTTGGGGGAGATTTTCTCGGGCAGCTGCCCAACATAAGAAATTTGCGTGTTTTTGGCATTTAATTAACAAACCGGCTGGCAAACACAGAGAAAAATATGCAATATTTAAGTTAAGTTTGTTACTGTAACAGTTACAGATACAGCCACAGTTGTCCAGTTGTCCGTGTTTGTTTTGGCCACAGCGTCGGAGATGGAGATGTCGAGGCAGCCGTTTCCTGTTGGGCGGAAAACCCGCCGCGAGCCGGTTGAGTCTAGTCATATTCAGCCCCGATGGTTAGGCTGATGGCTCCGGGCTGGACAAAGGTCTGGTGGTACCATTTGTTGGTGTCCAATACAACTGGAAGAGTATCGATTAGCTATCGGCCAATATAATCCAATTTGTACCCACTAATGTCACCCTGCCGCACCACAACATCGAAGCTGCGGCATTGGAAATAGCACTCGGGTGGGGGCACCAGCAGCCAGCGCTTGCTTCCTGCCAGCTGCGCTTGCCACGAGGGCAATCTCACGTTGTCAATCTGTATGGGAATGAGATTCTATCAACCAATAAGTGCCCAAAGAGGACATGCATACGCACATGCATCTGTGCGCCCAGTCCGGATGTTCCAATGAAGAACCAATCGACTGCATTATTCTCCGAACTTTCGGGCAAAAAATAGGGCCTTCCGTAGTGCCTGCGAAACTCCTCCGCCGTTTCCGTATGGCAATTGCTCCAGCCAAAGTACCAGGGTTTCTCTCCCTCTTTCAGCTCAACCCGCTCTTCCGGCATATCCAGAGCCTCGTAGATATCTTGGAATCCAGTCTTATACGGCAAAAACTGGCAGTCCCTTATGCGTTGCTTCCGCATAGCCTTGCCATAGACATCTCGAAAGTACCAGTAGTTGAAGAGCTATTCCAAAATGATCACATGAACTCACATTGAGATCTTCAACGACATCGAAAACGTAATACCCACGGTAATTGCTGTCCAATTTTGGGTGGCATCGCTGACAATTACTGGGGCCCCACTGTACGCATATTTTCTCTCAAACTCATTGGGACTAATGTCCTGGAGGCGTGGCACATTTTTGATGTTCACACAGAACTCACAATTCTCGGGTGGACGAAGAGCATACCGCAAGGGGCGAGGTAAGGAAAGGAAACAATTCTAGAGAGATAGAGGAAAACGAATGTATTAGCCCGGATTTCTCTCTAGCACTTACAAGCTATTCTTTCCAAAGGAAAAACTGATTCGTTATTGATTTTATCAGAGCATACGATCACTTTAGTAATTCCCTCACCTGTCCCTGTAGCTCCTCGTTATAGTACTTCAAACTGAATAGCAGCACTATGATCCCCAGAAACCCCTTAAGCCATTTGACCAATTTTGGACTCCATTTCGAGGTTTGGCCTGACCTGAGCAGCAAGTCCTGAATATGCACACCCAGATAGTTGGGCTTATGGCTTTTCAGTATTTGACTGAGTCTGCTGTGTGCCTGCTCCAGATCCATGCTGATGATGTTGCCTCGACCAAGTCACGTTCCGCACTGTGGCCAGGAATTGAGCTCTGTTCGCCTCATAGCCGCTTAATGCAGTCGCCTGGCAATAATTCGATTATCCGTCACTGCGCAGGCCTCTAAAGCAGGAGGGAGAGGGGGCTGGGCTTGTGGGAGCATGTGATAAGGCACAAATTGCCTGTTAATACCAATTGGAATCACTTTCACATCAATCTATTGTGGCTCTTTGCAGGAACCCCTACAACAATGGACCCGGCACTTGCATCACCTACGATGCCATCAATGCCGCCTACTTGGATGCACGGAAGCGTATACGTAAGTGGGGGGCGATGGCGATGGGGATTCTCTGTAAAAAGAGTTCATGAAACGGATAATATAATGTCTCATGTATTTTGCAGATGTGGCACAACCCAAGTCGGACTGGAAGCCGGAGGAGCTGGCAACGGTGGGCGAGCTGCTGCTCGACATTTCCATCCAGTTGGCCCGCACGTAAGTAATCCACGCTAAACGCATTTGAAAGTTGCCCTGGCACGCCCACCAGCTCCCTCGGCACTAATAACCGTTGCCAAATAACGCATGACAAGGCAGTTAAGTCGTGCAACACGGTTAAGACCGCCTGCAGTCATCGAATATGTATGAGATTCGGCCTGTCTTGTCTTTTCTTGTCTTGTCTGCCTTCACAGCCTTCAAGGTTCTGTGCTCCGCCGAAATCGGAACATAAAAGCATCTGCGGGATATGTATATGGTGTTTTTTGAAAGTCTGGCACATGCAAATGCTAATTGCACTGCCGAAAACTATGCTCTGTCTGCGTCTGCGTTTGCGGATCTGACTGATGGACAGTCACTGGTGCACAGGCACTTGAAGTGCACACGAGGCCTTCTTCCATGCGCCCGCTTCCCCCACTGGCGCAACCGCATTTTTGCCATACAAAAATATTTGCAGCTATTTGCTGAGCTTGCAGCAGATGAAAACAAACTCGGATTATGCAACGAACCACAGTGCCAGACAGCCCCAGTGAGAGTGCGCGTGACTATCTTCCCCGACACTCCGATCCAACCCGCTCTCAGCGGCCACCCCCCACACCCAGACCAAAGAAGCTGCGGAAGATGCCACACAGCATTTCCAGTTTTATTTCTCCTTTTCATACTCCGTACTCGTTGAACACTGGGGTATATTGCATTTGTTCACAGCCAGAAGGAGACGTTTTGAACACAGAAAACTTAGTCGATAAAATAATGTACGATACTGAAACGCCAAGGAAGAATCACTAGGAAAACAAGAATCAATGAATCCTGACAAATCTGTAAATAAATCAGATCACAATAAGGGTAGAGAAGTTGGTGATAAAAGCAAGTTTCGGAATTAACTCTGACTGCTTGATACATCGCAGAAATCGCATATCCAAATAGCATGATTATATCTACAAGGGTATCTACAACTTCGACCCCGAAGCCTTTCTTTCTGCGCTTTGGGGTTGGCCAACGATTGGCTATTGCACTGGAGTGGAGTGATGCGGTATCTGGGTAAGCGGGTTGCCAAGTCAGTTGGCCACAGTTGGCGGCCAGGCCAGATCATGTGCTCAAAGCTTGTCCCCTCTGCCTCTGCCCACAGCGCAATGTGTTTGACTTTCACTCATCGTGTCTAAGGCTGGCTCGGGTCGCATCTTCATCTCCAGCTCCAGCTGATGCAGCTGCGACTGGTTCAATTGCCGTTGTATAATCTTTTGATTATGGCTTATAACATGTTGTAAACGGCAGAGGCGGCTGTTGCCTGTTGCCTGTTTTGTTTATGATCATTCTATAAAACAAAGAGTCGGCTGTAAACAGGATGGGATGCAAACGAAAAGATGCAATCCAATGTAATGTAAATCAATTATAGACGATTGATTTGTTGCCGTGACGAACGGAATATCCCTATCTGAATATATCTGTTGCCTTGTATTTTCGCGGGTTTAACGACCTTATACCACGGGTACGCTCTAAATTGCAGACTCGCTTTAAGACCCAATTGGCTGTGAAGTTTTACAGCTTTCCACTTCCCATTTCACCATCACATCACACAATAGCCGGCCAGAAACGATTTCCCTTCGGCTTTTCTCGCTTTCTCATTCACTTGAGGAAGAGTCTACGTCTGTGGCGGTCCCTTTGGATATTTATGTGCCGGCACTGCGGTTTTCTCCCCATTTTCTGGATCTTTTAATTGCCCACAAATACATGTTTGTCAGCATAAAAATCTCGGGCCAAAATTGGAAAAAAAGCCGGGTACCAATTGAAAAAATTTGCCACTGTCAACGTCAGACATCAACATCAATATCTGTCACTGTTAGCCAGACCAAAAGCGCGTTAATTACAGGCCGTTTGCTAACTGGGCTAATACGTTAATTTTGCAATTTTCCAATAAGCATTTCGAGTGTAGAGAATCGCCCGACTGGCAGTCAGGACAGACAGCGACACAGGAAAGAGCCAAGTTTAGCGATATCCGCAGTTGCGTGAACGTGAACGGCATTCAGATGCAATTACTAACGATCGTAGCAGACTGGCAATTAAATTCCGTTTACTTTCTGTTCCAGCTATGGACTGTCCTATGAGGAGATTGAGAAGGGTCTTCCCACGATTGACACTTCAAAGACGATGATTCGGGAGGTGTGTCCGCCCTTCTTTGCGGGCGTCGAGTGCCGACCAGGAAAATACCGGCGCTTCGATGGGCTGTGCAACAACATTGAGCATCCCACATGGGGAGCGGCGAATGCTCCCTTCCAGCGACTGATCGGCCCCCTCTATGCGGATGGTATCAACGCCCCACGGATATCGGTTACCGGCCGGGATTTGCCCTTCTCGCGTGTCGTCTCACGCACCATGCATCCCGACGATGGCTATCACGATCACGCGGGCACTGTAATGGTCATCGCCTGGGGTCAGTTCATGGATCACGATTTCACGCTCACAGGAACTCCGCTGGGTATGTCTTGAGCTGCATTATAAGCAGATTGAAGCAGCTGCAACGTAAATACAATCATAAACCCCCCTCCCACACAGATCCCATCAACCGCAACGATCCAGAGGAGTGTTGCAAGCGTCCGCTACATCTGAAGCACCCCTACTGCAACGAGATCCGCGTGCCAGATGATGACTACTTTTATCGTCTCTTTAATGTCAAGTGCATCGATTTCGTGCGCGGCTTCCCATCGCCCCGACCCGGCTGCCGACTGGGTAAGTTTCATTCGACCTTTTCTGTGAAGCCCTCCTAATCCTCTGCTTAATTCCATTACAGGCTCGCGCCAACAGTTCAACACTCTAACCGGCGTTATCGATGCCAATACTGTGTACGGAGTGAAGGAAGCGTTTGCCCGTAAGCTTCGCACTGGCTACGGTGGATTGATGCGCATGAATCCCGTGTTCCAGGAGTACGGCCTGAAGGACCTGCTGCCCCTCAAGCTGGATATACCCGACGAGGGCTGCACGCGACCCAACAAGAGCATGTACTGCTTCGAGGGCGGCGAGATTCGAGTGAATGAACAGCTGGTCCTGACCTGCATGCACACGCTGATGGCACGAGAGCACAATCGCCTGGCCACAGGTATGGCGCAAATCAACAAACACTGGGACGACGAGACCCTGTTCCAGGAGGCACGACGCATCAACATCGCCATTGTCCAGCACGTGACATACAACGAGTTCCTGCCCATTCTTTTGGGCAAGGAGGTGATGGAGAAGTTCGGCCTGGTGCTGCAGAAAGACGGCTACTGGGATGGCTATGATTCGGCAGTGAATCCGGGCATAATTGATTCCTTTGCTGGTGCCGCCTTCCGCTTCGGCCACTCCCTGCTGCCCACCGCCGTGGAACGCTGGTCGAAGGCCCACAAGTTCATTGCCTCGAAACGCTTGTCGGACCTGATTCGTCGCCCCTACGATCTGTACCGGGCTGGTGTTCTCGATGAGTACTTCATGGGTCTGATGAACCAAGTGGCCCAGGCCATGGACGACTCCATCACCCAGGAGGTGACCAACCATCTGTTCAAGAAGGAGGGTGCCCGCTTCGGCATGGATCTGGTCTCGTTCAACATGCAGCGTGGTCGAGAGTTCGGTATTCCCGGCTACATGGAGTTCCGCAAGTTCTGTGGTCTGCCCACCTCCAACACCTGGGATGAGATGTACGGCTCGATGCCCAATGAGACTGTTTTGCGTTACGGCAGTATATTCGAGTAGGTTTCACGATGATTCATATTCGTATTTAATCAGTACTTACGGTGTATTTATCCTGTAGGCACCCGTCTGACATTGACCTGTGGTCTGGCGGAGTTTCGGAGAAGTCGCTGCCTGGCTCTATGCTGGGACCGACCTTTGCCTGTGTCATTGCCACCCAGATGAGTTACCTGCGCCGCGGCGATCGCTTCTGGTACGAACTGCCCAACCAGCCCTCTTCCTTCACCCCCGAACAGCTGCAGGAGATACGCAAGGCGAAGCTCTCCCGCTTGATTTGCGATAACACTGACTTGATAGATACCGTACAAATCTATCCCATGGTACTGCCGGATCACGAAATGTAAGTGAATCATTTGGACATATATAGAGAAAGTATCTTAATCTATTGGAAATTTTTTAGTAACCCTCGAGTACCCTGCAAGAGCGGCATTATACCATCGATTGACCTTTCGAAATGGGCCGACTTTGGCAATCACGGCGTGGATCCCTCTCTCTATGTAAGTTATCCGAATTGATTTAAATATTATTATTTATATCTTGTATCTTTCAGAATTACATTAATGAAATACCCGATACGCTACTCAACTTTAGGAAGTAAATGCCATTTGTGTTGGTTAAGGCTTGTTTAACAATCTGGATTCAATTTTTGGCCTCCATACACTGTCCATTCTCCTCTGCAGTTCTGTACTTCTGCAAATCTCCTCTTTTCTACTACTGCTTAGTCTCTTTACTAGTCTGTGCTCACCATTCGCCTCTCCATACAGCATTTCTATAGCCAGTCAGTAGTTTGACACTGCCATTTTCTTCAGTTCAGAGTTCTTTCTTTCTTCATACATATTTTTGTATATATTATTATTAAATAGCAGAAATAGAGCGATTAAGTTAAATGATATTGAAGACCGGAAAACCGAACAAGAAACCTTTAATAATTATACAATTTATTTTGATGTAAGATTTTGTATATGCAACTATTTTTTAAATAAAAAATAAAAATAAAGAATTTGTATTGACTTGAAAGGTTACGCTCAAGAATTCAAAGAACATACCGAATGGGATGGGAAGTCCTGCATTAAAATCAGGGCCCGGCACAGGGCATAGGAGAGTGTTCTGCTGCTGGGCTGCCTCACGTACACACTGTTCCGTTTGTGCCGACGCCGGATCACAATGATTTTTTGATTTTTTGAAGTACCAGCAGATAACTATCTGCTGAATATAGGAATCGGTACCAGAAAGCAACCCTGAAGCATCAGAGTTAAACGTATGATCGATAAGTTAATAACCGGAGTGTTTTAATGGAACGGGAAACCCCCTAGATTCAAACCGGAACTTTTCATTTTTTAAGTTGAATGAAAATATAACAGTCTCTGAAATCCCACTTACGGCCAGATATAAAAGACAAGCCCTTCTTGAGGATTAAGACATAATTAGTTTAGTTTATTTACGATAACATTATACCTAAGTTAATAGGAACTCTTTGGTTACGTGCTGGAAGTTCAATTGTTTAGCAAAAGTCAGTTTCATAATCTTTGTGGTCGAGTCGAAATCAGCAGTCATGATCGTCTCTTGTTGAGCATCGCATTGACCCAAATCCGCACCTGAGTCACAGGCCATACAAAAACACACACACACACTCAAAAGCACCCCTTGGGCCAAAAGACGCCTCTACGGCGGCTCTACTCGAGGGCATTAAGGAACGGAGCTATTGAGGCGATGTCCTCACAGTCGGGTATGGCTTTGCCTTTGAACTTGAGGCAGGAGAGCGCACAGGTCTGGCCCTGGAAGTAGTCGCCGAGCATGGTCTTGCACTGGACGCAGTTGTTGAGACACACCTGTTGCAGAAGGAGTATGTGAATGTGTTAATTGGCCATACATCATCGGTTCAAGATGATTTATTGAGACAAACCTGAATGAAATCAATGCCGCCCATCGCATCTGCAAGTAAGCAATTAAAATTGATATTGAATACGCCATGGAGGAGGACTCGAGCGACTGCAGACTTACCAAATCGCTTGCCATAGTGCCCGATGGAGGGCAGGGCATCCCCGAATTGCAGCAGGGAAAGGGCAACTACCACAACGGTGCACAGTACTAAGGGCTTGGTATTCATGATGGATGGATTCTGTGTTGATAGTATTTTTGTGTCTGATTTGTCGGATACGACCGGGAGCTGGCTGGCTGGCTTGCGACTTGGCTGGTCTAGAGCGGAGTTGAAATAATTATTATCGCTCGTTTGTCTTCTTATTTTATATACATATGCTCTCGGCCCAAACGCAGATGCGAAAGCTTAATAACGTAAAGAAGTCTGAACAGAAACAACAAAAACAACTATTGCTGAAGCCGGTCTCTGAAAGCGCAGAAGCGAGGCGAAGCCGTCGGACCACTGACGGACAGAGACACTCGAGCGCCCAGTCCCAAGTCCCAGCCCAAGTGGCGCTAAGCTACGTCAGATCTTTCAACGAATCGAAATCAATACAAATTCAATAAAACTGCCATTATAGTTGCTAAGCGTATGCAAATTTCGATTTGTACCGAGCGATACGCAAAAAAATGTTCCTATTCAGAGATCTGTTTTGTGGCCATTGAATTTTGCATAGCTATCAGGTGAACAGATTTAATTTCTGCTAAATGGATGTTCGGCCCATTAAATGAGTTAGAATTTATGGAATGCCACTGATAAGACTTCAAAGGAGACGCGACAGAAATGTTTTGTAAGGCAATTCAAAATACACATGTTTGCAGACCCGTCTCCCGCGTAAATTATTTACAGATCTGGCATGTCATTTTATCAATGCTGTTTACAGCTGGCGAAAAATTTCCCCCACTTTCAAGAGCACAGCAAAAAAGTCACCGAAGTTCAGAAGGAAAGTAGCACCTAAAGAGCTTTAGGAAAACTTCTCGGAAAGCTACAGCAACAGCAGCAGCAGCAGGAAGTGTCAAGCCGCCGAACTGTAGCTGTAATTAATGCAAATTTTATGCGAATGGCAAGCGCCGGGTCTGCCGATCCGATCCGCTCCGAACCGATCCGATCGCTCATTAATTAATGGTGCTGTGAATGCATTAAAAATGTTGTAAAACTGTGGCGTGTAGAACGGGGTTGGGTGGGCCTGGCTATAACAATAAGTTACGCTCCGATATAATGAGCATTCTTTTGTCCTACACGGATCTGCCTCCAACCGGACACGCTACTAAGGCGGCTAGGGCAAAGGTACTGCAACTGGTTTTGGGGCGCCTGCCTTTTCTTTAAACGATTTAAATTGATGCCATCCAAGCGAAACAGAATGTGGAGACTAAACTACAAAATATATACATATATTTGTGTATAAACGATTCAACTGTATCGTGGGAAAAGTTTTAGTTATGCTAATTTTATGCGACACAAATTGTTTGTTTCCTAACTAATAGGCAACACGCGCCAGCATATGAGTAATAAGCCCGCGGCGATTTATGCCGCGAATACGTCACAGCCCAGCCGCTTTGTGGGCGTGACACTTGAGCCGGGTTTTAACATATGATTTTGGCCGAACGATTTGATAATGACGTATGAACGGTACTCGACACTTACCGGTAGTTGATTGTTTTGGCGGCGAGGTGTGGGCTCCGGTCAAAAAAGTGTCGGGTCGGCGTTGGCAACAAGTTTGTTTGCTGGAAACTGGTTCTAGAATAACTGCTGTCGGATTGAAGAGTTCTTTTCGTATTTATACAAAGTCCGTCGTTGGGCTTTTGTGCGAGCAAATTAATCAATTTATCTCCACAGTAAATCCACATAATTGAATATGTGCTCGCCAGCAGCAAGCTGGCAAAATGTCACTTCCGCTGGCAGTAGAGTAGTCAGCCACTTTCTTGAGTGCTTTTCACAGCAGTTGTTCGCTGGATGTAACATGTAACTTATCCAGTTTAATTGCGTTTCTTTTTGGCGCAGCCGTTACACGAAGTACTCGTAGAATTTGGATTGGTACAAACAGGAAATGCAAACAGCGCAAAAGTTTCTCTAACAACTATGAAAAGAAGCTGCTTTTTCTGTAGTTCTAAATCATGACATATTGCTTTGATTTCCTAGTCCCTGGACCAACTCGCGCTTGTGAACTCACTTCACCCCTTGCATAACAATTCAATCAAATATGGCTCACAACACAGATACAGACTTTACAATCTTTACTGAATACAAGTCTCAACTAATAATGTATTGCGACGTATGCTGTTGTGAAATTATCCCATTGACCATAAGCTACACATTTTCTGATCGGTTTGGTGTGGTTTCATTCTGCTTTACAGGACATTTCCACCGGTCTGAACTTATGAGCCGTTTTGAGTCGGCTTTTCTATAACTACGGTGCTAACAACCTAACAGATCCTGGTCTGGCTGACAGCTTTAGCCCATCCTCAATGGAAATAAAAAGGTCTAGCTGAAGAAACATATTTAAATAACAACAATCATCTAATAAAAGTACAGCAATAAACGATGTGGATGGTCTGGTTCAAGCCGTTCTGGCAGTGCGCTTAGGCACCAGCAAGGGCACGGACTACTGCCTGGTGCAGAATTCCTTGTCCACCAATTGGGGCAACGAATGCTACATCCTGATGTCAGCCCGCAACAACTACGGCGTAATGACCATTCCCACTTATGTGGAAATGTAGAACAGTCTTCAATTTTTGTTTTATTTTCTAGCCCCGCGGGCTCTAAATATGAATTACACTTTCATTAGCTGATGCCATTATCCTCTTTTGTAACCCTAAAATATTTAAACTCCAATAAAAATAGATAGCTTTTATGTTCAACAATTTCCGTTTTATTAGAGTAAAGTAAACACATTTCTTAGGCGCATTTAAAAATTTAAATTAAACTTAACCGAAGAACGGCTTATTAGCAGTGCACTGCTTGAAAACTGTAACTTTTTTGTCAGTATGGCATCACTGCATCTACAATTATCCAAGCAGTGGAGCATGTTACTTAGCTCCGCTAGATGGCGCGTTAAAATACTTTCGAAAATTTAAATCTTTTTGCGAAATTATTACTAAAATGGAATAAAACAAAGCATTCCATTCATGAAAATGTGTTTTCAAAGAAGAGCAGAAGAAAATCTGTTACAATACAGCTTGGCGTGACCCTATTACAAGGATAGTAGAAGTGCCACAGAGTTTCAGAGCAACATTAAAGGTTCCTGAACGTAATTCTGTTAAGAATATATTTTAACGATTCCCAGCTTGGAAAGAAGTCTCTCGTCGTTGGATATATTTCTTAGTCCATTTAATGACTCCCATAGAGGCAATCAATTTCTCTTCAATATAAATCTCATTATTAAAGTGCCGGGCAGATTAAGGTCTTTTTTTTGACGCACCCTCCCCCCCTCCCCAGGACGTGCGTTGAAATTGCTGAAAAGCCACAACAGCAAACGTTTCCACCGATGACCAGCCATCGAATCGGGTGTATGGGTGTGGCACACCAACATCAACGCCGTCGAACAGCGAAAACTTTTATTAGTTGGAGCAACGCTCCACAGAAGACCACACCGAGTAAATCAGTAAACGATTTTCTTTATAGTGCAGCATTTGCGAGGCAGCTTTTTCGTTTTTGTTGCAGCGGCAAGAAACTTTTATTTTAAACCAATCCCCAAGCCAAGGCAAGCCGAGGTTTTCGGACGCTTTATTTATGAACTTTGCCGGCACAGTCGATGCGATGCGCCTCACATGCTCCAGTCCATCCATATATTGCAATCGCTTCCTTTGTGCCTCGCTGGATATTTCAGGCACGTAAGCATTAAATTTTTTAGCCATACAATATGCTCATTGTGGCACTGATTTTAGCTCCAAGATATATGCTGCCAGCTAGCCGGGCATGACAAAAGAGCAATGAAGCCTATTTTGTAGCTGCAAACTTTGCCAGGTCGAACAAAAAACTTTTATTTAAATATCTCGTTAAACCACTCCTATCCCCCCCGCTCAGCAGTGCTCTGAGCTGCTACACTGGCAATCCCCAATAAGCAGAAAGTATGCGATGGAAGGACAAAACTCTTAATATAGTTGTGGCACTTGTTAATAATAAACCTTAAAGTATTTTTAACTATGCCCCCGAAAATAAGAGCAAGCCAGGAGTATAATTAGTATATGTAAGCCTTTCACATGCCTCAGTGCACACGGGATGGTATGGGGCCAAACTAAAGAGCTAAGATCCCGTTCCACTCCACTCCCCGCCGCACCAGCCATCGTCGCGTATGCGTAATGAAGCTTGGGCGCCTCACTTGCTTGGGACACACACACACACAATCCCAACGGTCCCATACCTTCTTCGGCCACCGGCATGTGAAAAACGTGTTAATCCACAAACTAATTTGATGTTAATGTGGAGGGTTGATGGGTCGACAGGTCGGCGGGGCAGCGGGGCAGCGGGGCAGCGAGGCAGCGGGTAGCCGGCTGCCTTAATTGTTTTTCAGCTCACTTTACAGTGTGCCTCGCCTCGCCTTTGTGGGGCTTTAAAAGCCATTCAAAGTGGCCGGGCCATTAGAGCGTTAACAAATTATACCTGTCCCCGGCTAGTCCTGGCCTGGACCTGGCCCCGACCCCCAAAGACAACAGCCGGAGCAGAATTAAGCGAGCTGCGAATTAGTTGCATCTCAAGGTCCTCCTCCTTCGCTTCTGCATACTCAGCGTTCGGGCGGGTTTGTAAGGCGGCGACGGGACAGACCTCATCTCGGGGGCGACCGCCTGGCGCGCTCAATGTGCTCGAAATGAAATCAGTGAAATGCTGGAAATTAAAAAATAACGAGATAATTAAAAGCTGCCCCCGCAGTTATTTGCGTGTGTGTCTCCTTGCTCACGTAGCGCTGCTTAAGTGGCGGCATTGAGGCTGAATCCAATTGGGGAAGCGTTTGGTGGCATGCCCATGCCTCTCTGTCTCTCTGTCTGTCTGCCCACAATTGTCTGTGCCAGTGTGTATCTGTATCTGTATCTGTATCTGTGTGTGGTCATGGAAATGTACAGAGGGCGACCCGGAGCGAGTGAAAGAGCCGTTTTAATCCTGCCGTTTACTTTGTCCCACCAATGCTCGTTCATGTTTAATGTCCTTTCATTTTGTATTTGACTCCAAGTTGCCTTTGTTTCTGTTGTTGTGTTTTTTCCATCGTTCTTAGATTTTGCTTTGTTTTGTTTTGGTTTTTGTTGCTTATTTGTTTTCGGCTCACGCTGTGCCAGAAGGCCTGTCTCTGCTTTATTTGCTAATTGCTTTTTGAGGTTTTTTGGCTTTGGTTGTTGCACAAACACATTTTCAGGTTTTCTGGAGCGATACTCGTATACCTATTTTCCGAAACGGGTTCAGTTTATGCGATTTGTTATTGGAATTATCCGGAACAGCATAATCCGCATTGATATATGGCAATTCGTGGCAGTGGCAGTGGGCCAGGACAATCGGCGAATTAGTACACACTTTGCTAATTACCTATTCAAGGAGCTGATTAATTATTTGCCAATACACATTAATTAGCGGAATTAATGCTTATGAAGAGCTGCCCACCAAGCTTCCCCCGAAAGCAAATAAGAAATTACCTGAAGAGTCCTGGCAAGGCTAAAGAAGAGCCCACAAATTAACATTTTTCGCACTCATTAGTGAATGATTTAATTTAATAGTTTTGTGGCCCACCTACATAAAGCCAGCCTCAATATGGGGACAGGGCAGCAGACAGCAAAATATTCATTACATTAAATGTGCATAATTTATACTGATGTTCGTTTAAACGCTGCAATTATTTGAAATTTGTCCATCATTTTTTTGGCCCTACACTCATGCGGATCCATTGGCCTCCTGGCCACAGAGTTTCCTATTGGCCATTGAAATAATTTCAAATTATATTTATGGTACTCGATTCATTGTAACGCGAAAAACTCTTAGCTGGAATGCTTGTTAATAAATATTGAAATGGAAATCAGTACGACTCAAATAGCCAGGGGGAGAAACGATGGCAAAAACATTTTAAACAGCCATAAAATCAACGAATTGTGGCATTGCAATTAAACAAAATCATTTTAGCGGGTTTTGTGTTTTATTTTTTGTGTGTTGTCCCACGTTTACCTTTTCAATTGTTAAGTACTATTTACATATTGAGTCGGAAATTAAATAAAGCGATTTACCCTCCGCTGATGAACTGACCTGTCATCTCACTTGATTACGTTAGTCACAGTGTAATTAGTCGCCTGAACGCCGAAAAGCGGCCAAGGCTCGGAATTAGACCAAACGTTTGTTAATTAGCAAGACCAAACACACGAGTGTGGGTGTGTGTATGGTGTGTGGGTGTGTGTGGTGTGTGCGTAGGGTGAGTGTGCCCGTGTGACATAAATTGAACTGACGGTGAGCGCTGGATGTCTGGATGGCTGGATGGGTGGATGGCTTAACTGGGCCACTAGAAGGGGTGAGGAGAACGAGAGAATGCACTGACATGCACATGTCCAAAATGCATAGCTCGACAAAATGTCAGCCAGCACATCCGACCGTACCACCTTCTTTGGCTATGTGCGGAAATGTGTCGAACTCTGCCATGTTGCGATACGACAAAATTGGGTCGCATTTCAAAAAATTTTCGACTCCGGATGGTCAGTGGGTGTCTGGGTGTCTCGATGAATCTCTGCCTTGGTGCTTGTGTGTATCTGTATGACTTTGCGTTGACATTTCAACTTTGCCCGACCAGGCTAATGCAATGAAAACTTGCAGTTTGCCGTAGAGCTTGGCTTCTCTTTTTTTTTTGCTGCTGTTCAGATGTTCAGAGAGTCGTCGTCTCTTGTTTTGGGTCACATAGCTGGAGACTTAAAGTCGAGATGCTACCAGTGAACCTGAAATCGCCATTAGACATACACAGCTTCAAAATCGAACTGCCAAACGGCTGATCCTGGATGGTAACGAACCAGACTTTATACACCACACAACACCATCCCTACTGTTGAAGAAGCCCCAACCAGGCAGTAATAAGTGTCAAGCCGTTCCCCGTCGGCCCTTTGCAATCACAATTTATGCTGGCCAAAGCACTTCAAAGAGCTGACGCCACAATAATAAACCATTGCACAGCCCCGAGGCGCAGCAAGTAGAGCGTCAGAGACAACAACCAACCAGAGAAATCGGAATTCAAGCAGCACAGCAGCCCAGTGCAGCTCGGTAAAGTTGCTTTAAAGAAAGCCTCTACTGACGGGATATTGAATCCGGTGAGCCTGGAGTTTTCGCTACTGTCAGCTGGCCGAAAATAGCTGGCCTTCAAGCGAGTTGGGGCAGCCACGACAGCATTGAGTCGCGTCTTTCTCCGCTTGCGCATTGTAAAAGTTTTCCTCTTTCTATACATACCCCGTGCTCGTGGAGTAGAAGGGTATATTGTTTGAGTAGATTGTTCTTCAAATAAGCTACCCAAGACAAGCCCAAAGGACTATATGCATGTTTCTGTACTTTTAATACAAATACATCCTGTAGGAGAATGTAGATGTAAGTTTGGTTTGGTATAAAGAAAATCTGATCAGGGTATCTTATTGTCGGAATATTGACTTTCGTATTCTGTTCCATGCTTTCTTTTTGGTGTTTTTTCCTTTTTTATTTGAGTTTTCACTTACCTTGTGCTTAAGTGTTTCTTCTACCAGGCCATTTGCCATTTGTTTCGTTTTTGGCGGCGCAACATTCTCTGTCGATGTGAAAACTTTGAGCCAAAGGTGGGTGAAATTGGGGAGCCGAAGCAGAGGCAGGGCGACCGAGCATGCGGGCTACTTTTATGATTATTGCTTTCCTGCCTGCTCAACCTCGCCAGGAAAGTATCTCGTATCTGTGCGCCTGAGCCTATGCCCATGCCAATGGCATACTTAGGCCTTAATGTTAATTTTAAGCATTTTCAACCATAAGCTTTTGATTTAAAGCAGCCACAAGGCCAGGCCATTCCATCCGAGCAGTCTTGCTGGCGTGCTGCCATCCCAGGACATGGACATGGACGCGGACATGCAGATGGTTGTGCTGTGCTGTGCTATTGCAACCCCGGCCAGGGCAACTGCAGCTGTTCTCTCCGGCTCTCTGGAAGTGCACTTCACTTTGTCTAATTGTAAAATAAATAAATGAGATAAGAACGGAAAGTGGCAGGGGCGTGTAAAAAATTCAAAGGAAATGAAAAATTGTGCACGAGTTGCGTCCTCCCTGGCCAACCGCACACAGTTACACACGGATGTGGTTGGAGATGCGGCTGCGGATGCTTATGCTCCCATGACTCCAGTGGGGCAGAGTGTGCTCCCTAAGCGCACGGCAAGTGGGTGTCTGTGGGGAGGACTGTCGAAAATAATAAATCAAAGTGACACATTGAAAATGTAAAGATCGCGCCCTGGCTTCCCGATGGGCGCATGCATCTCTGGGAGTTTTGCACCTGGCTGAGACAAAGAAAGTGGAGCTTTCAATTTCCACGCGCCTCAACGGCAAGACTGACGTTTGAAATACACAAGACGCTGCTGACTGGCAGGCAGACCCAAGGAGTGAGTAACACAAGAGGGATGCAGTCTCAGTCTTTGTGGAAGCCACCCTTTCGTCATTGTCAGACAGCCCGACAAACCCGACGAAGTTGTTTAAGTACTTTGCGGAGAGAATAGCTGGCTGTCGCAATTTAGATAAATTTTAATTTTAATAAAGTGTTTGCTCTGCACTTCTGGCCCACTTGAGCGGATACTCTGCGCATTATGAATTAATTATCGCAGTCCGCCGCCGGCTTTGGTTTGGACCGTGCCGGGAGCCGGCGAGGCTTGGGCGGCACGGCGTAGTAGAGCTCGCCCACTTGTCCTATGGTCTTGCATGCCATGCCCTCCTTGAGGGCCTCTCGTATGATCTTGTAGCAGACTTCGGCGGGAAAGCTGGTCTTGGTGGCAACAAAGGCACCCAGTTCCTGCAAGGAGGTGGCCTGGGAACTCTCCCGGAGCCCAGCTAGGATGAGTTCGAGGGGACTATTGATGCTGCGATCGTAGTAGATGAGAGCCATGCCGGAATTGTGTGATTCTGATAAAATAAACGTAAATTTTGTGCTGTCAACTGAAAGGAAAATCCATAAGCGCTTTTCAATATCAAATTTCGCTGGCAAAGCCATCTTCTCGACTTGAGCCTGTGGCCATCTTTGGGGAATCAGAAATCACTTGCTTCCCACACGCTGGTGCCACACGAAGCGTTAAGTTACTCATGAGATTTTTTTCTTTTTTTTGTGCCCCAGAGCAACAGTTTCTCACCCCTTTCGCCCTCGCACACATGCCTGCATCCAGACGTTGCCTGTCAAATTAATGCCGCTCTTTATGCGCCCCGTGGCGCCTCGCTGTGTGCTTTGCTCAGCTTTTTTGGGTCCACATTTATCGACTCCGTTTAAATTAAAATTAAAGCAGCTGGCTGTTGGGGTTTTACTGGCTACTGGCTACCGGCTACTGCCTGGCGATTTACCGACTCAATAACACATCGGCTGCCAGGCCAAAAAGTTCAAAAGGCGGTCAAAACTTTTCCGTTTCTTTCATTCTTTCTTTTCCATTGCAAACAATTTGAATGAGGCGCGCAAATTGAATAAAAGACCATTGCCACAGATCAAGCTGAAAAACTGCTGGCTGTGATAAAATCATCAGCTTTCATCCTCATTCCACGATTTCCTTTTTCTCATTCTGCAAGTTTTTTATAGTCATCCGTCCAGTCTACGTGGACCGAGCAGGATTGGATTGGTAAGTCAAGGCGTGGGGGAAGCTGCAAATAAATTTTTATTGCACGAACGAATTCAATAAAATGGGCAGCAGAGGAATGACGGCCAAAGGGAGGGATAATAGAACTAGAAGCGAAATAGGGAGAGATGCTCGCTACTTAATTAAATAATTCCGTTTTTGTTGGGATATAAAGACATTAAAAGATATATATATGGTATGAGAGCGACCAAAGGATACTTTAAAAATTGTTGTATTCAAGTGACTCTTACCATACTACCATAATACGAAGTCAAGTTCAACATTTTACAGTCATTTCCGAACAAAATATCATTAGAGTTATTCATGCAGATACCATATAAATGTAATTTATCTCATTTTAAAATATGTATTAGCTACATTTTATTTATTGTATTCGAACTGGCAGAGTTTCGTATCGGTTGGATAACCGTTTGGTGCTGATTACCGGCAATTATCCAATCAGCCACGTACGAGCTCATTTCGCACTGCCGTTTCTGACCGGAATATTCATATCCAACTCCATATCCAGCGTACATACATTAAACGCAATTTATGTAAATTGTGTGCCGTCATTTGCACTAAGCTAAAAATGGTACAGTGCCGTCCAGTCCAGCCCGACTAGGGTCAGTAAAAGGGGCGTGACCGGAGTGGGCATTACATTAAATCAAATTTGAATGCATTGAGCAGTCTGTGTGTCCGGCAAACACAATAGATGCAATAGAAAGAGGTTGGGGAGGGGGGTGGAGCCTGTGTGTGCGTTCGAATTGAATTTAATTTTATGCATTTGCAGTATCAACGCATAAATTATGATAAAAGGCATAAAATATGTATAGTGGTGGAGAGTGAGCCAAAGCGGAAGTCCAAGTAAATTATGTTGATGGCCGAGTGGAGAGGAGAGCGGGCCTCGAGAGAGGTCAGAGCCCATTCACGACTCACTAAATTTATGCAGCAACAATGGCAAAGATCACCCCGACACAGATGCTCACTGAATTAACCAGCGCAAATATTTATGGCCCTCTGAAAGGCGAAAAGAAGAGCAGGTTACGTAAATGTTTGTCACCTGCCACCTGTTCACAGTTTTCGTATGCGAAATATACATGGAGAAGGATGCAGGCGGGCAGCCAGGCAGGCGCAAGGGAGATCGAGATGGCAGAAAGCAGCTAATCCGACTGAGCGCCAATTGGGGACACATGTCCTGGCAGGGTCCTTTAGTTGCTGAAGCTGCAGCTTCCTCCCCTTTTGCCTTTGAAACTCATTTGGGGCAAAGGCAAAGCTGACAAGTCCCGGGCGGACACGACTTAGCCAGAGTAGACTGCTAATTGAACAGACGGTCATCTGGTGGGGCACAGGACATGCCAGCAGAGCATTCCTTTAGTATTCGTTCTTTTATTAATATGTCCCCAGCCGGCTGTCCTCGACTACACAGAAATAAAGCACAGGATGGCTGGGAAGGCACAGCGACAAGCGAAATGCAAACTAATTGAAAACACTTCAAAGGACATCAATATCAAAAGCATAGACAGCGACTCAGACCGAAGGGTACAGATGGAGATGGAGGAAGACCGAGATACAGAGAAATGGAGACAACCCGTCTTTCAGCCATCTAGCAGATGTCAAACGAACAAATCGAAAAATTGTCTAAGGTCCGCAGAATGTACCAAAAAAAGGAAAGAAGGAAAATGCACAGGGAAAGCATGGAATCCTCAAACGCTTGCCCTCGGTTCCGATTGGCCACAGACTCAGACACAATCAAATCAGAGCTATGCCAAAATTAAAAATATTTTCGCATTCTCCCAAATAAGTATATCCTTCAATCGAGGCACTTTTCCGCAGCAGTTTCCCTCGAGTCAACTAAGGTCCAGCTATGGAGCAGCATACTCGTCTGATATTCAGCTTTTGCGCAAACGAATCGGTCCGGTCGGAGACTTGTAGTTTCAGTTTCAGGTAGTGGCCGGGCCGTGCTGGCCGCCCCATGCAACAATAAGTGGATAAAATCCTTTTCATTTTCCCACAGTGTGTCCGGCTTGCTACAAAATCAATTTACAACGGAAGCTTACTTACATAACCCCCCCGAGACACATAATCCTGTTTATACGAGTATGTGCAGATGATTCGAGCCGACCCTCTCTCTTGCCCAGCTCCGGTCCTTTCCAACCCAATCGCCACTGAATATTGGAGCTGTCGCAGGCCGGGTCTCTGTTTTCCTTGGGCATTTCACAAAATATCACAGGTAACTGTCTAAGGACAATGTCATCACATCCTTCGGTTCAACTTTGTCGTTGCTGTGGTCGGAACTTTTGCATATCGGTCACATTGTCCTCTGGGGCAGCACGTGTCTTCCTCTATCCGTATCTTTCTCCAACCCCACCCCCGTTCTATTCATGGCGTGTGTGTGCGTAAAGGCTCCGATTGCACTTTATAATACGGTTATGCCTCCAGGCATTTATTTGCCTTAGTTAGATTTTGTTTGTTGGGAAAATTTCATAAATATTTACTTGCTGCCAGCTGCAGTTTCTGCTATTGTTCACGTACTCTTACTGCTATTCTCTTAGTACTGGACCGAATAAAAACCCAATTTGTCCGTGTGCACGAGGGAGTGTATTGAAAGCTGATATTGTTATGCGTTACGACATTTAATTACGAGTCCCCAACATGGCTGATGGCCATCGTTGCGTATGCGTGATTTGTTCAACCTTTCAACAGCGATTTGCCGGATATGCAGAGAGCAGAAATTAATGCTTACATATTACATGCTATCTTTTCTTATTAGGTCAAACTAGATTCCAGCTTGAATGCATTGTTACTGTTCGTGAGAGTGCTTCATAATCCTCTGCTGAATATTCAATTTGAATTAATACCTTACGATTGATTTAGTTTCATGAATTGAAACTTAAGTCGCACAGAAAGGTGCTTTGACAATCTCGAAAGCTGACATTTATTCAAAAAGCCCCGAAGTGAGGCTTTTAATAAACGAGTATGTACTTATTTGGGTCGATACGGACTGACAGGGAAAACTAAATTGAACATTTCCCCAAACTGCTAAGAGTAAATTTAAAATTCTGCACATTAGTCCGGGCACCATTAGATAAGTACGGAAAGACATCTTAATGCAAAAAAATATGAAATCAATGCATTTTGAAAAGCTCTCGAAAGACGAAGATTAGGAAGTGTACTCCTATGGGCTGTCGGCGACAGAACTTTTATGGCTTATCAGAAGTTAAGTGCTGGCGAACAGAAATATCATTAAATGTTAAATAAATTGAGAGCCGGCAGAAGTGCATTTCAAATGCAAATAAACGTAGTGCAACGAGTAACTCTGATTCAAGCTGCAATGTAAAACTGATGGCAAAGTAAACTGTGGCTCATACTCGTACCCCTGCTCGTGCTCGTAAGTTTCCCCTATTAACTGAGCCAGAACTTGAATATGCAAAATGATTATGTCTACGCCAACGGCGACTCACAGACTCGCAGACTCACAGACTGACTGGCTGACTCTCTGACTGGCTGAAGTAGATTAAAGACACCAAAAGCCACTCAAAGTCAACTGAATGGGATGCGAGAGAGACGGAGTGGAGTAAAGTTGGATGGGCACTCGAAAGTTTTTTTAAAGTTTTGTGCAACAATGAGATCCTTATTCTGCTCCTACTGCACCTTTATCCTGCTTCTGCAGTCAAAGTTGGCTGGCTGGCAACATTGCGCCAATTCAATTGATTTGCTTCTGAAGTGCAATGCGTTTTTGAGCGCTGTGCAAATAAAACTAATGCAATGTGTGCCCCGAAAACTTGGTTAAGTGATTGCCCACTCCCACTCCTTCTCCCTCTCCCTTTCTCTCCCCATGCTGCTTATAAAATTGAATGGATATTTTTTCTTTAATTAAACTGATTGGTATTTCGGATTCTGGCTAACCAGTTGGGTGTTTGCTGTTTGGTTTTTTTGGTAACTGGATTCCATCTCCTTGCTCAGCTTTAAACTCGCAAGCTGAGACTAGCCAGATGAGGGAGGTCTAGAATTTATTAGCCTCCGTTTTTCCAACACATTTTTATTGGCATTTTCCGTTTGCGTAACAAGTTTTGGCTAATTTATTACAATCGACGCATCGTAAATTGCGAAAACGAGTCGTTTCCTCATTCCTCATTCCTCATCCCTCTCCATATCCGTGTCCGTGTCCGTGTCTGTGTCCCTACTCAGTCCATGTCCGTGTTCGGCTGCTGTTTTCGAGCAATGAGCATGTTAATGCTGAAATTTATGCTCAGCAAACAACTCACGAATTTCATTTATTTTCCAAGGCGCTCAAGAGCG